TATCCGAATACTTTCACTACAATATCCGAATACCACCAAGTATCCGAATACACTCACTAAGGTATCCAAATACTTTTCTTCCCAAAAAAGTATCCCAATACTCCTTGATGAGTATCCGAATACCTCTTGATAAGTATTCGAATACTTCACGAAAATTATTCGAATACTTATCAGACATAATGCAGAAACTCTTGCAGTTTCTGCATAATCACCATTTTAAGGGTCCTCTCATGATTTGGAGCCCCATGTCTCCACAAACAGAAGTTCATTAACACTTTTTAAGCATAGATTATCAACCTTTAACTTGAATAATCAAAGTTTCTCTTTTTAATGACTTAAACAAGCTCAAATCATGAATTTTCAAGGAGAATGATCATGATTTACCTCTAGGCTTAAGGAATCAGAAAAAGGAACTGACTTGGAGCTTCCCACACAGCTCAACCACACTTACTTCACAAGGCCACGAATTTGACACATAAGCTTGGTCTTTTATACTAAAATGTGGCTTCTTGAAGCGTTAAATGCCAAGAAAATGCTCCCACACCCCTCTAACAAGGATGAACAGTCCCAAACTCATAGCACACAACAACTCACACTCTCAAGAGCCAGTTTTTCTCCCACACCAATGTTGCTCTCAAGTGTCTACAAGGTTAGAGATGGAGAATCCATCATAAATGTGGTACCTTGAGGGATTTCTATGGAGAGAAAGGCAACGAGGTAGTGAAGGAAGGTGGCAGCAGCCAAGAGCATAAAAAATTCTACGTAGTAATATCAACTGCCCTAGGTTATTGTGCCAAATTCTCTATTTATAGGTCCACTTAATTAATCCGCCGGTATTAGTTCTAATAGCTCTGCTTATCATTTTAATCTCAAACTTAATATTCTGAACCTAGCCATTTTTCTAGGATTTGTCATATTTTTATTAGAATTTTCGCAGCACTTTGCCGATACGCATTTCATACGCAGTCGGTATTAGTTCTGACGTCAAAACTCATTATTTTGACTTCAAACTTGATATTCTAATTCTAAATATTATTCTAGGAATATTCATACACTTATTATAATTTTTCGGGATACTTCACCGGTACGCACTTATACCGTGAAGCAGAACCGATATCTGCACTTTTCGTCAGAAAAACGACTTTAAGCGTTATTAAACCCTCGTGATAATTATTCTAACCTTACCATATTTATTCAAGGTCAATTATGAAATTATTTTTTAATTTCATAATTAAGTTATTTAAATTCCTAATTTAACGATGCGAGTTCTTACAAGAGAGATGCTCCAAGGACCCTTGGTTTACTGAGATGTATTTGTATATCTCACCCCGTGTTGTGGGGACCCCCTTCAGGTACAGATGCTGCATGAGCCTTTGGTGGCAAGTGGCCATACTTGGATTAGATTGATATATGAGGATGTTGCATTATTTTGGTTATACATGTCATTTAGTAGTTTCTATGTATAAGATTCACATTTGAAAGCCATTTGATATGTGTACTTCATGTTTTATTTTGGTGGACTTAGCCTATGCTCACTTCCGTTGGTGTCTCTTTTGCTGATGGGAGCCAAGGATTTGATCATAGTATTTTGTAGCTAAGTCCCATGGTTATGTATTAATGACACTTGGATATTATGTAATATTGTACTTATTGTAGATATGATGGAAGGGCATGGATGCATGTGTGTCTTGAAATAGTTAAGAACCATGTAATGAAGTGGTAGTATAATGTCTATTAGGTGTTAAGAGGATGATGAAAAAGGAAGGAATTCTTTCATGGAGTTGAATGAAAACAGGGGAGGGCATGTGTTGCCTGTTGGAGAGCGTTTTAGCGCTGATAAGGGCGCCAAAACGCGTTGTGTTCGTGAAATGGAGGAAAAATCTCTGCCCTTGGTCGTTTTAATACGCAAGTGGGCGCTAAAACGCGCAATTGGGCGTTTTAACGTGCAAGTTGGGTACTAAAACGCGTTGAAGACCTGGAGAAGGCAAAATTCTCTCCCTCTGGGCGTTTTAACGCCTAGTTGAGCGCTAAAACGCGTTACCCGAAATTAGCACAAACATGATTTTGTAAAAACTTCATAACTCGAGTTACAGAGCTCCAATTTGAGCACAGTTTGAACCCACATGTAGCTAACGAAGAGATCTATAATATGATAGGAGATAAGAACTATAAAGGAAGTTAGAATTCATATAATAAGAAAAGAGATGAAGACATTTAACAACACGTGGTCAAATAAAATAAGAATATGATGTTAAGCTTAGTTTTATTTATTTCGCAATGTCATATGGTTATGGTCACGCAATTGGTTAATTTAAATTCAGCTTTGTTCAAAAAGAATAATTTATCCGAATTTCTAATTGAACCAATGTGATTGTAACTGTGCTTAATATCATAATGCAATGTTAACAAATCGATTTTAGAACGGGGTGTTACACAAGAGGCAAGAAGCATCGGGTTTTGGAAGCTCTTGGTTGCTCTTTCATGTCCATAAATGAGCATGGGAGGCGAGAGGCTTTAAAGCCAACATTGTTCTTCATGCCTTAATGTGAAGTAGAATTATGAAACTGAATCTCTTAGGCTTTGTTTGGGAGTTTGGAGGGGAGGGGAAGGAAGGGGATCCAAGGGGGAGGGAGGGGAAGGAAGGGAAGGAAAATGAAGGGTATTCCCTTCCCTTGTTTGGGAGTTAAAAAAATAGTAAAGGAGGAAAATTGAGGGTTAATGAGATATTTTTACTATTTTACCCTTTTTAAAATTAATATAATTAATATAATTTGCAAATTAAATTAAATTTAAAATTTCTAACAAAATTATTTATGTACTTTTCACAACACCAAAAAAGATCATATTTTCGATGAAATTTCTACGTTGTAAACGATGAAAATTTCATCACAAAATTTATTTTTTTCGTTGGAATATTTTTCGTTGAAAAGCGACGGAATTTTTCAACCGATGAAAATTTTTACCAAATTAAATTTTCTATCGAAATTTTCGACTAGTTTCCATCAAAAGTTTTGACGAAAATGATTTCCTCCATCAAATGTTTTAAACGAAAAAAGAATTTTGTCAAAAATTCTGACGAAACGTTTTTCGTTCAAAATTTCGATGGAAATGAGTTCTGACGAAAATTTCGACAGAAATTGTTTTGTTAGAAATTTTGATGGAAATGTTTCATTTGAAACTTTCGACGAAATTTAGATTCTGTAAAGAATTTTGAGAGAATATTTTTTTTCGTCAAAATTTTTTATCGAAATATTTTCCATCAAAAGTTTATACGGAAATATTTTCTGTCAAATTTTTTTGACAGAAATGAGTTCCGTTGAAAATTTTGATGGAGATGTTTTTTATCAAAAAACTTGACGAAAAATTTTTTCGTTTAAATTTTTTGATGGAAAGGTGTTTCGTTAAAAATTTTGACAGAAATTTTTTTTGCCAAAAAGTTTAACGAAAATGTTTCCTTCGAAAACTTTCGGCGAAATTTAATTTCTGTTAAGAAATTTGATGAAATTTTTTTCGTCAACAATTTTCGATAGACATGTGTTTCGTTGAAAATTTTGATAGAAATATTTTTCGTCAAAAATTGCGATAAATATTTTTTTTGTGAACTATTTTGGCAGAATTTAGATTCCATAAAGAATTTTGACAAAAGAAAATTTTCGTCATATTTTTTTACAGAAATAATTTGGTCACAAATTTTGAAGGAAATATTTTTCGTAAAAAATTTTGACGTAATTGTTTTACGTCGAAACTTTTTGATGGAAATGTGTTTCGTCAAAAATTTTGACGAAATTTAGATTCTATCAATAATTTTGACTGAATTTTTTTTCGGTCAAAATTTATGGTAGTGGTTATGTCAAAATGTGGTTCCGTCTCTAATTTTGTATTTAGTTTTGACGGAAATTTTTTGGCGTATATGATTTTCATCAAAAATTTCATCACTATTTTTGACGAAATATTTTTCGTCAATAAACTCTGTTGGTATTTGAGACTTTTCTAATAATATTGCATTTAAAAATGATTCACAATTATGTAGTTTTAACATTTTAATGCTAAGTGTAGATAAGTAATTTTTAATATTTTCCCCCTCAAACCCTCCAAATTAGGGGAACTTTATTTTAAGAAGAAGGAGGGTTTCGTAAAAATTCTCAAATTCTTCTCCTCCTTTTTTTTAAACTCACAAACAAGGGAAGGACTTACTAAAACTCTCCCTTCCCTTTCCTTCCGCTTCTAAAACCAACTCCCAAACAAAGCATTAAGAAACATGGTATTAATTGGGAACAACTTTGAAACATACGAGCATCATGTGTTAGTATGTAAGAACTCACCTATTGAACCCCCAAGGGTAGCTCAGTTAGCAATTGAGCTCCCAAGGGTTTGCTTGAGTCAGGGTTCAAACCCTGCCTCAAGCAAATTCTTAGAAAATCATTGGGGGCCAGAGGATCCCTCCTCGAATGAGGGGATTAGTCTCATCCTTCCTCCGGTAGCGAAGCTCAATGCGCCCGCTGTTCCAATGAAAGACTAGCCTACAGGGCCGTATCCCGAGGGCAAGGTAACCGAAAGAGGTTGAATGTGGATACCTCCAAGTTATACCAAAAAAAAAAAAAGAACTCACCTATTGTCATCTCAGTGGGGCATATTTTTGTTGTTCGAAGATTACAAAGCTTTGTATCCCTGGATGAGGCCAGGGGGGAATATACACCGGATGAGGCCGGGGGAAATATACAAAGGGTAAAGGTGGAATTATTTTCATAAAATAACCTCACGTTCTGATTAATATTTCACAATCAATTAAATATACGCTCAATAAATTTAAGCATAAAATCCTGAGAAAATTTGATCTTACCAAATATTTTATAGTAAAATTTCTGAAAAATTTATTTTTCATTATATTTTGATAATAATCTTTTTTCGAATAAATAAAAATTTATCTTCTACTACACCCCCGTCAGTTAAAAACTACTTTCCGGAAAATCCTCCTCCTCCTCGTGATCTCATGACTCATCAACGCTTTTCTAGCCTCTAGGGGTCTTTTCCACTCATCACTTCCACAGTTCCACACACTATCTTCGATTTCCGAGACCGCACTGTTTAGAGTTCTTGTCACTCGGTCACTCTTTTTTCCCTCTTCGTTTGCTGTTTAGCTGGTGAGAAATTACGAGCACTCTTCAAGATCGTTGGTCAATAATCTGAAATTCTTCACTTTTTATTTTTGTATTTTCTCGGCAACCAAACAGCGCTTATCCTTTTCCGATTTCTAATGCTGCGTGCTTCTTTTTCTTGCAGAACTCATTGCAATGGCGGAGTCCAAGGTTGCCAATGGCGTCGCGTCCGCGGGGAAGATCGAGGCATTGGAGCGCGAGAGAGACGAATTGGCGAGCGAGAACGCGGAGAAGGAGAAGGAGATCAAGAAGCTGAGGAAGGAGATCGAGGGATTGCGGAGCGACGGATCGGAGAAGAAGGCGGCGGAGGTGATTGCGGCGAGGGCGGCGGAGCTGGAGACGGAGTTGGCGAGGCTGCAGCACGATACGATATCGGATATGAGCGCCGCCGAGGAGGCCAGGGCGGAGGCGGCGGAGTTGAGGAAGGCTCTGGATGAGAGAGAGTCTAGGGTTGAGGTTCTAGAGAGAGAAGTGAAGGGGTTGAAGCAGGTGAATGCTGAGAGTGAGATGAAGGTGAGGGATTTGGAGAGGAAGATTGGTGTTCTTGAAATGAAGGAAACTGAGGAGAGGAGCAAGAGGGTGAGGGTGGAAGAGGAGATGAGGGAAAATTTTGATGAGAAAGAGAGGGAAATTGAAGAGTTCAAGCACAAGATTGAGGAATTGGAAAATGTAGTAATGGGGAAGAAAATTGAGTCTGAGAAATGGGTCATAGAGAAAATGAATATGGAGGAGAAAACAAGGATTATGGAATTGAGTATAGTCGAAGCAGAGAAAGTGATTAGGATCATGAATGAGAAGGGCACCAATGGAGCTGTGAATGGTGTTCATGGTGAGGTGAAGGGGTTGGAGGTACAGTGGCCAGTGGTGGCAGGATCTGCAGGAGCTCTTGCTGCAGTTGTTGCTGTGATCTATTTCTGCTTTGGAAAAAAAAGGTGACTTTTCTGTGATGAGTGAGAGGGTTATCCAATAAGAATGGGAAGATGAAGACTAGAGGTTAGGGTTTTTAACAGGCTTTTAGTCTCAACTATGCTTCAATTTTGTTAGTCATCATAAATATAATGCTTTTCTGGCTTTTGTTTTTAGGAGCCTATGAAATTTGATTCATGTCAAAGTTGGCATACTTGTTTTGTTAGTTGCTTGTGAGAATTAAACCATTTTGGCTGTTGGAGGAATGTTCTGGTTAACTGCAGGTTTTTGTTTCACTGATATAGAGTCTATAGTCGTTGCATTCTAAGTTTGGATAAAATAATAATAAATAAGGAAATTGAGATTACAAGGTTTTTTTTATTTTTAATTTTTAAATGCTTATTGTGATCTTTATCAGCGTGAATATGACAGCAGCTGGACTTGCTGACAATTTAAGGTTTACTTTGTATTTGTAATATTTTGAAGGGAAATGTAGATTGTAAGTTCTCTCTTGGCAATATCTCTTTCTCCTTGAGATTAGTCTTTAGCATGGTGAAATTCATAGCTTGGTGCAACTGTTGCTGTGTGCTCAGACATGGATGTTTAACTGTTTTTCCTGGTTTATTGGGCCATCTCTATTCTCTATCCCATAGGTAGTGATTGTATATCTGAGAATAAATATTAGGTTGAATAAGCTTTTGTTCCAGGACTCGTGAATCTTGTGCCTTTGGTTTGTTTTTTTATTTACATTTCATTTTCTTTTTGTCGTTTTCAAGAATTTGCAAAAATAAAAATAAAAATGGTGAAAACAAAATCTTGTTTTTACCATTTCCTGTACACATTCTTGAAAAGAGAAAACAAATAAAAATAAGGTGGAATTTTTGTAATTATTACTGAATATATACCATGCTCGGTCAATCTTTTCACTCGTTAAAACGGAGCTATCAAATTAATTCTGTCAATGAGTACAGTTTTTCTTTACATTTTCTAACCAGAAATGAATAGTATGCAACAAACCTGACTTAAGATGATTCAAGTCCAAGAGCCTGTTTGTTTCAGCTTTTTAAAAAAGTGATTTTTATCTCTTCTTTATTTTAAAAGTGCTTTTTACAAAGTAAAAGCTATTTATATTTTTATAAAAATATTTAGTTTTTTAAAAAAATATTTGACTTTTGACTTCTGCTTTTTGTAGAAATTAAAATTTTTAGCTTTTGAAAAAAGTAAGTTTTTGGTTTTTTTTGTGACTTCTGCTTTTTTTAAAGTAGACATCCAAACGAACTAAAAATAAAGTGTTTTTTTTCAAGAAAAAAGCAGCTTTTGAAGACAAAAAAGCCCATCCAAACAGGTCCCAAGTCCATCATAGAAAGGATACACAATATAGGTAAAGACAGGCACTCAGAAGGTGGTTTAAACTGGAATGCTACAGCATAAATGTGGTTGAAAGTTATATCATATGGAATGAATTGTGCTAAAGCACAATATTGAATTTATATGGCATGAAGGGATTTGATCTACCTGCTACAAGAAAGGTTGCCATATGAAGTAATCTCTACCACATAAAGGCCTTTTGATTTGTTCTTGTCAACTCCACCTTAATTCTAACTCATCTCTAAAACAATTCTGAAAGGAAGGTGTGCACTCTGTGAAGATGGAAAGGGATGCCCTTGATGCAAACAGTGAAATTGCCTGGCTATTTTGTGTTGCTGAACCTACCAAACAAAACCACAAAAATTACACTACCTCTTTTAAAACTATATATATGAACGTCTGACTGGGACTGTACTCGGCAATCATATGAACTAAATATGTCATTTCCTGGTCAATCCCCCTACATAATCAAACCAAAATGTAATTGAAGCCCTGCTTCTAATTTAAACGGTCATGCTGCTCAGAAATTAAACTTTGAAATAAGAAATTTTAAGGAAGGGAATACCAATCATTGCTATTGCCTCTGGGTGGAATAAATCTTTGGTGCATTAGATGTACTTAATTGGGTACATTTTTTTATCAAAAGAAGAAATTTTTTCAATATGACAGGAATTTTTTTTCTTCCAAAAATGGTGAAATTTTTTCCAAATGTGAAAAAAAAATGTACCAAATTGGATATATCTAATACACCAAGAATTTGTCCCTCTTGGTGAAACCCATAAAGCTTTTAAGCTGAAGCCATGGATGAGTGAAGGAAAGACTCTCTCAACTGAATTGGAGTATGAAATTCGGATTTGTTTCCCAAATGAATAAAGTATATTGATTTTAAGGAGAAGAAAGAGGCAATGGTATATACCAAGTGTTACAATATTAGCATAAGAGGAGAATTAAAGGCACAGCTTGGGTAGCAGTAAAGATAGTAGTTTAATATTGAGTGTTACAATTGCATATCATAATTGTATGGTTGTATTTCAATATAGGAGTTACATTAGGAGCATTAGGAGTAGCTTATATTTTGATAATTGAAGTGGCAATTGTTAGCCTCTGACATGTCATTGTATTAGGCAAGAAACCATTTGGTAGTTTGGGGTCAATGTATTAAAGGCACAGCTGCAACCGATGGAAAAGGCATTCAAGAAAATAAATCAGAAACGTCTTTTTGGTTCTCTTTTTGTTCTTCTCTGTTCATGCTCCTATGTGAGGGTTCGCGTCCCTTATCACTGGTGCTTTCACCATTGTGAACTTTGCCATTTTTGTTCTGCAAAATCATGCTTTCATCTCGTTGAATCTTCATCCTTGTCGAACGTAGCAAGCAATTCAAGATGCAAACAAAAATGGAGAAAGGTTTTATTGAAGATCAAGCTTTGTTCTCCAAAATCAATACTTTGTTGCAGCAAATTCACGCCGCAATCCTGGAGAAATCGCCCGATCAATCATTGGGTATTGATGCTTTGAGCGCAAGAGCAACACAATCTTTGTCGGATCAAAGAACTCCACACAAGTTAGCAAGTTCGCTGCAAGCATCTATTCTTGGTGCTCCAAGAAATTCTGATGTTCTTTCCAAAAAGAGTTCTACCTCTGTTATTGCAATGGATATTGGTTTCAAGAAATGGTCCGATCAATCACTTCCTAGTCAGTTGTCACACATGGAATTTCCAGATCGTGGCCCTTTGAAGCCATTTTTTGCTGATCCTGTTCTGACTCCTCGATCTCCATCACCACCAAAGGTGACAACAAGAGAGCCCATTCCTGTTCAAGGAAAACCATGTAGAGGAACAACAAAATGCTCGCCCAGAGGTCAGCGCTGCAAGGTTTATGGGAACAAGCGTTCCTTGCCGATGAAAGGATTGAAGTGGTCTCATTTGGAAGTTTGGAACACGACGAAGAAGGGTTGTGCAAGGGTTTTGCAGAAGATGATGAAACCCAAATTCAGTTGGATCTTCAAAGTTCTCGTGCAGCCGAATCTTGCAAAGAATGGGTATGCGCCACACATGTTTGATGAAAATCCTAGCCTAAATGCAGGTTATGCAGTACACGTGTTTGATGAAATTCTTCAAGACCCATTTTCAGAATTTTCTCTTCAAGATTTTGTTTCATTTTGCCTTCTTTACTTTGTCTTCCATTTTGCTTGGGACCCAGAGGGATTCATATATTTTCTTACTCCATCGTCCGTGGTGACAAAAAAAGTTGCAAAAACATCATCCTTCCACAGGAAGCTGCAACAAAGTAAGCTAGGTAGTAGTTTAAATGGATTGCATACATTTAACTCTTTGATTGCGTCTGCAGTTCTCGGTTATGAGTTTGTATGCATTGCCCTTACGTGTAGCTCAAGTGGTGAATTTTGGCAGTTTCAGTGGGGTCCTGGCTTTTTCCGATTGAAAATAAATGAAAGTATTATTCATTTCCCTTCCCAAGGGGGTGATTCTGGTCTTCACTTTATTAATACAGTGTCAGTGGCTCTTGACCTGGATGTTTCTATACCACCATTCATTGACCGGACACTACTTCGTGCCAAAGATCCACCTAGACCTGTTTTTCATCACATAGAATACAAGCCCCCACCAGCCATGAAGACTTCCCTACAACCAACAAAATCAGGCTTAGATTATTTAGCAGTCTTTATTTTCAAACTAACTCGTGACCAATAAGTCCAAAGAAGATGGCACCACAATCACCTACAACACTTATGAGATGTTGGTTGGTCTCTTGTGGAAAAGGGTATGCAAGGCAATATCACTTCTTAATGATCAAGAGACCAAATTGTACATTGCAACTGCTGGAAGGTTAAGGTTGCAACCTCCCCTCCCACCAGATGGAAAAGTGGATCTCCGTGGACGACCATCGATTTCTTCTAGAACTGGGAAACAGAAAGCTTGCTGTTTCGTACTTGTTTACCAAGTATTGGAAAGATTTGCCTACTATGGGATAGGTGCCAATTTGGTGAATTATATGACAACCCAACTCCACAAAGACTCGGTATCATCAGTAAGCAATGTGAATAACTGGTCAGGAACATTATGGATAGCTCCAATTCTTGGTGCTTACGTAGCAGATTCTTACACGGGTCTCTTTTGGACAATTATTATTTCCTTGCTCATATATGCCAGAGGACTTGGGCTTCTAGTCCTGACAAGTTCATTGAAGTGCTTGAGGTCAACATGTACAAATAGAATTTGCAACAAAGCATCAAATTTGCAAGTAATATTACTCTACGTATCACTATACACTATAGCAATTGGCAGTGGTGCAGTGAAACCCAATATTTCAACTTTTGGTGCTGACCAATTTGATGACTTCAACACCAAAGAAAAAGAGATAAAAGTTTCATTCTTCAACTCGTGGTCGTTTAGCACTTGCTTGGGCATTTTATTAGAACCTCTGCTAGTTGTGTACATTCAAGACAGATTTGGATGGGGATTAGGATACGACCTATCAGTTATTGGGCTTCTACTTTCCATTATAATCTTCTTTATGGGCACCCCAATATATAGCTATAAATCTGGAAAGGAGAGGAACCCTACAATGGACTTTATCAAAGTCCCGGTTGGTTGCTTTGGCAATGTGATCTTCACGATCACACCTATAGCTATAGCAGAAAAATATGCAGTCTATATAAAAGGATTTCTACTCTCTCTTTTTTTCATTGGACCTTGAGGACAAGGTCCGTTTTTGAGGGGAAGGCAATGTTACAATTTTAGCATAAGAGGAGAATTAAAGGCACAGCTTGGGTAGCAGTAAAGGTAGTAGTTTAATATTGAGTGTTACAATTGCATATCATAATTGTATGGTTGTATTTCAATATAGGAGTTACATTAGGAGCATTAGGAGTAGCTTATATTTTGATAATTGAAGTGGCAATTGTTAGCCTCTGACGTGTTATTGTATTAGGCAAGAAACCATTTGGTAGTTTGGGGTTAATGTATTAAAGGCACAGCTGTAACCGATGGAAAAGGCATTCAAGAAAATAAATCAGAAATGTGTTTTTGGTTCTCTTTTTGTTCTTCTCTGTTCATGCTCCTATGTGAGGGTTCGCGTCCCTTATCACCAAGGTTATAAGATATTTTTGACTAGTCCGAGGGGTGTGAAGGGGGGTGATGTGTATGGACTACAGTTATGACTATGGTGAGAATTCAACAGAGTAACAATAATCAAGGTCAAACGGAGAAGATGAACAATAGAGAAGCTAAGGCTCCTTTTATATAGGAGGTTAGAGATTTCCTCTTAATGCGCAGGGCGAGATGCCATAATCGTTTTCAATCATATGGATTCCATTAGGGCAAGAAGTGATCTATGACATGTAAAAAGTCATGCGTGCAAAGAAAATGTAAAGGGACACGTGTACTTGAGCCCCATGAACCCCATGTGATAAATAATGATGGACCCGCCTAACAGTTGAGGAGCGGGCCAGAGAGGTCCATCTGGCCGGATTAGAACACTCTTTTTTCCTATGTAACTATTCCATCCAACTACATTTTGCATATGCCTTTTAACTTTTTTTAAAGTATAGGCAAAAGCAAAACAAGGAAGAATGAACGACGTAAAGACAAGGAAAGGAGAAAAGGACATAGCAAGAATAGCAGATTATTTATAGTACTCCTGGCATACCTACTCCTTCCATTGAGGAACTGCCACTTAGAGAAAAAAACAAAATTTCTCTCTCCTCCACATAAGCAAGTCAGAAAATATCAATTTTTAATTGACTTGAACCACTGAATCATAGATGGACCTGGATCATATTAAATATTTCCCAAGAATAGAAGATCCATTAAGTCAAATTAGCTTTCCATCTTAAAAAAAAAAATAGCTTTCCATTAAAAATGAAGTTTATATATTCATAATTACTAAAAATTAGTTACTTTGAGCTGTTACTGATCACATTAACATGCGAAAACGGGACCCTAACTTTTGCAACAAATTTGGAGAATTAAGATTGACATAACTAACAGTAATCTTAATAATCTTATGGTCTTAATTACCAGAGTAAGTTCAATTCAATTGGGTGTTCCGGTCTACGAATGGCCTTATTTCTATAATCTACAAATAAATAACATGCAGTGCTTTTATTCAGCATGGAAGAGGAAACGAATAAGATTGATCCTGTCATAAGAGTAAAAATCCAAACGACTCATTATACCTTTATAACCTCAGTTAAGCAAGATTGGGAATGATCTTCAAGCATGGACTTCGTTTTCTCTTCTACAATGTCCAAGAATGTAATTGAAGATCAAAATTAGAGAGGTTACCACTTCTTGAACCTGCCAGAAAAGTTCAGAAACGTTGAATCCGTTGTACAATTTCCATGGACCTTGTATGTCATCAAATGGGATGGTAAGTAGCTAAAATAATTTTTCAACATATCATATATACCCTAAATAAAAAGAATTCTCTATGCAAAACTTCTGGGGTATACACATATATTGATGGGTTGGAGACATGAAAATAAGAAAAAATGCATCAGAGGATATTCATTTCATCTTGGATCAGGACTAATATTTCAGTCTTTCAAAAAACAATCAATTGTTACCCTTTCTCTATAGCTTCCGCAAAACACATAATAGCCAATAGCACTATACATGCTGTAACATCCCACAAATTAAAATAATAATTTAACACTCTAAACTTAGTATCTTGGAAACAAATTGAAAGAAGCACAAAAGGGTAACCATAATTAACTAACATATATATATATATATATATATGGGAAAAATTGTATTTACAAACTTTTTTTTTATAAACTCTTACAAACTATACTATGTATTACTGGAAATACACTAAATTACACTACGTACTTCTGGGAGTATATAGTGTAATTTGCAAAGATTTATAAAAAAAAGTTTGTAATTAGATTCTTCTCATATATATATATATATATATATATATATATATATATATATATATATAGTCAACTTAGTAAAATTAATTTACATAAAGATTTCAAGAAGTAATAATAATAATAATAATAGTGTTAAGCTCTAGTTATAAGAGAAAAAAATTATGTTAATTTTATCCAAGCCGGATTAATCTGGTTGGAGCATTACAAGACTTATATTAGTGGCAGATCTCCTAACATTTTTTTTCAGGACTAAAATAAATTTATAATAACCTTTAATAATTTAATCTAATATATTAATCTCATTTGAGCGCTCTAACACACACTTCAATATAAATATATACCCACACTTTAAATGAAAAGGTGCATGTCCAGACTAAATTAATTTAAAAACACTTTGAAAAAGAATTTGGGTTCCTTTTCTTTTATCCTTTATCTTTTCCTTCGACATTCTACCAGTAAACTTCTTTCCTCATTACTGTCAGGCGGATCCAGGGGGAAGCCCGTGGCGGGGGTCACCACCAATGAGCTAAGCTACTCCAAGTACACTAAGTTTGTTCGACACCATGTCTCAACCCAAAACCTTAAGGCATTGGGTTCATGGGTCCCTTCCACTTATATACTCTTCACTTAGCCCATTATCAACCAATGTGAGACTCATCACACTTGAATATACCAACAATCTCCCCCTCAAGTGTGAAACCCACCATTGGTATGCTTCCCCTCAAACGAGTACCCCAGGGCCCAAGTACTCAACCCGCCTCCTAGCCAATCACCAGGCTAGCTCGAGCCCAATCCGACTCTGATACCACTGTCAGGCGGGTCCAGGGTTATGGGCCCACCACGCTTCCGCTGCACCGAGTACCCCAGGGTTAAGGTTTTGGGTTGAGACCTGGTGTCGGACCCACTTGATGTACTCGGTGTAGCTTAGCTCATTGGTGGTGGCCCCCACCACGGGCTTCCCCTTGGACCCGCCTGACAATGGTATCAAAGCCGGGTTGGGCTCGAGCGAGCTTACCAAGTGTGGGTTTCACACTTGAGAGGGAGATGGTTGGGATATTCAAGTGTGATGAGTCCCACATTGGTTGGTAATGGGCTAAGTGAAGAGTATATAAGTGGAAGGACCCATGAACCCAATGCCTTAAGGTTTTGGGTTGAGACGTGGTGTCGGACCCACTTGATGTACTCAGTGTAGCTTAACTCATTGGTGGTGACCCCCGCCACAGGCTTCCCTGTGGACCCGCCTGACAATTACGAGTATAGTCGGGTCGAAATTTCTCTGCTTTTCACTAAGCAAAAGCATTCAAAACTTCTTGCTTTTGAGGAAACCACTTGAATGCGAAAGTAGGAGAAGATGAGTTTCTCCCCGTAACTTTGATTTAGCTGACTTTTTGAATCTTCAGCTATGGATGAAGTTGTTGGGAACTCGGTTCCCTCAGATCGGCTCAGGGACCTTTGTGCGGATGTCAATCAATAAGATCTTAATCTCGGATCTCGGCCATACCTCGGCCTGAACTTAACCAGGTCGGGCAGTGCAGCGAAAAAATCAAAACGTAAACACGGGAGAGAGAAAGAAGGAGAACACAACCAGATTTAACGTGGGAAAACCTTCTTCAATGGAGAAGTAAAAACCCACGGGACCTAGTCCAGATCAAAAAATTCACTATGAAAATAATCGTTATAAAGAATCAAATACACCAATGTGGTGGTTAACTCAACCTCTCCAACAATGGTGATAATCAAACTACCCTAGAGATGTTTCACTCAAACTCTCTCTAGATATCTCTCAAATCCAAAGCATAAAGCTTTGCTCAAACAATCAAATAATTATCTCTCAAATTTTCTCTCTCATTCACTTAACCTTGCCTCCACCCAAAACTAATAATATATAGAGGAGGTGAGATCTAGAGTTAGGGTTTTTAGGAAAACCCCTCAATGGGCTTGGGCTTAGCATTGAAGGAGGAAGCCCAACAAATCTCCCCCTCCGACTTCAATGCGTCGACTTCAGCATCAACCCCGGCTCATTCGCAACAGTCTTCAAATTTCCTTACGGGAACCGGCTTCGTCATCATGTCGGACCAATTTTGGTCAGTGTGCACTTTGACGAGTTCGAGCTCTCCACCTTCCACCACATCCCAGATCCAGTGATACCTCACATCAATATGCTTAGTGCGGGAGTGATAGGTCGAATTCTTCGCAAGATGGATTGCACTTTGATTGTCACAACCCAGCTCGTACTTGTCTTGATCATGGCCGAGTTCCATGAGGAATTTCTTTATCCACAACCTCTTTTTGCTTGCCTCAGTAGCGGCAACGTACTCAGCCTTAGTTGTCGATAGTGCAACACATTTCTGAAGTCTTGATTGCCAAGAGACAGCTCCTCCGGCAAATCTCATCAAATATCCTGTAGTCGACTTCCTCGAGTCGGCGTCTCCCCTTAAATCAGAATTCGAGTAGCCTTGCAACTCGGCTTTGCCTTCTCCAAATCTGAGACATAAGTCGGTCGTATCTCGGAGGTACTTGAAGATCCACTCCACTGCTTTCCAGTGATCTTTGTCGGGGTTTGACAAATACCGACTTACCATTCCAACAACATACGCCAAGTCGGGTCTAGTGCAAACCATTGCATACATCAAGCTTCCGACGGCGGATTGGTATGAGACCATCATCATCTCATCTTTGTCTTCATCAGATCTCGGACATTGCTTCTACTTTAGCTTTATGTGTCCGGCAAGGGGGTGCTCACTGTTTTGGCTTTGTCCATGCTGAATCTCTTCAGAATCTTCTCAATATATTTCTCTTAACTCATCCATAGTAGCTTCTT